CTTTCCCTTCCCCCTCTTAATTTTTCTTTCTTCTTTCTGAAAACTCAAGGAAATATCAAGTGCAGGAAGGAAAAACCTAGACACTTAAAATGGGGAAAAAACTCCCCTCACTTAGAAAAGGAAGGCAGTGAAAATCAACTGGGAAACTCCAAGGAGGCCCCCGAGAAGTCCAGGCAGAGGGAAGAAGGCCGGCCCCACTCGCCAGGGCCCTAGACCCTGCACTCATCTCCTCCAGGCACTGAGTCTGATTAGCACACGGGGCTGATTGGAAAATCACATGTTCCGATTTTCAGAACAGGCCTCATATGGAGCCCATCGGCTGCTGCAGTTGCAGAGCTGCTCAGTTCCTGTGGCTATGACGAGAGTCCTCTCCGACATTTTACGAGAGTCCTCTCCAACATGTTAACCAAATGCACGTCTTGCAGACACACCACTGTTCTCCAGGGAAGCTGTGAACGCTTTGCCCAGAGACCACAGACCCACTAATAGGGCCTGGAGCCCAGCTTCACTCATGGGGAAGAGGGTCTGGAATGGCGATTGAGGGGCACGGAAGTCATGGATTCAATTCACAGAGGGGCCTCTCCAGTTCAGAAGGGCCAGGGAGGTGGTCATCTAGACAGCTACTTCTGACAGCCTTGCTCTCTGGGGAGCAGCATCCACACCGCCAAGTACAGTCACCCCCTTTTAAAAGCGGCCCTAATTGTACTTTCTGCTGGGCTGATGGATGGGAGCCAGCTGAGGCCGCAGCTCCTCACTCTCTCCTCCAAATGTCAGAAGTTGCGAACACGACCGCCTGTTATGAAGCTTACATCATTTATAGCCATTTCATTACTTCCTCAAATATTACAGCTAACAATTTAATAATGATGCCTGGCTTTTTAGTAGAAACTTTCAGCCAAGGTTTTTGACCTGGGACTCAATATTTTCTCTTTAGACACTTCAATGGCGAAGCCAACTAATGCTTCTGGAATGTCTAGGAGAAAAGGCAGCGGATTAGTCTAACAAAGATGGGAGTCGGCAAGCAGCCCCTGGCGACACTAGGGAGCGTATATATCTGGTATCTGCACTCTGATGCTCCCAGATGCCAAGGCCTCCATTCTACCGCAGGGCCAGGATAGAGTCACACATGGTTCTGGGCTCAGTTCGGGATGGGGAAAGCTGGCTGCAGGCCATCAGTGGCCCATTTTACAAGGATGGAACTCCAAGCTCACATGTGACAATACATGAATTTCCACAATCAGCCAGCGTGTGAAGGAAAGGCCGATACAGAGGCTTACACCCAGGGTAGTGGAAGTGTTAAGCCAGGACTTAGAGAAATCGATGGTATAGAAGACAGGTACCTCCCCAGACAGAGATTGGTGAGCAGAGGCCCTGGTCCCCAGGCATCTGGGGAGTGACAATAAGAACTCTGAGAAGTTTTAAAAGTGATCCTGAAAGGGAAGAGCATTGTCAGTATCGAGTGTGGCAATACTACTGACCTTTACCACAGAGGAAGGTCCGTCACTTTAGCTAATCAATAAGAGCATTCCCGAGGC